TACCATTGTGGGTCCTTTTATGCCTCAAAAAGCTTGATCGCCATTTTGACGAAAAACAACAGTTATCACATTTATAGATTCGCATTGGTGCATTTTGTTGTTGTGCGGGTTCTTCGTTTGACTCCAATATTCCGTCTATCTCCATCTAAAAGTAAGAAAACCATTAAAAATACTGAGAAGATAGAGAAAGAAAGAGAGAGAGAGAGAAGAAAATAGGTATACTGATTAAAAATTACTATATACCACAAAATCTATGTTCATTCATCATGCAGGTATTCAAAATTTCATATTTTTCACATTTTAGTTACATAAACCAAGAGTCTCATAGACGTAAACCAGTTGTTGCATTTACACAAGTAAATAGTCGCCTGTGTTAAAGTGTTACAGAAACCAATAGTAACGTCTTCAAAATAATTTTGCTACTTATCAGCAGATTTGTAAAATATTTTTATCAAAAAAACATTGTTAAATGTTGAATAACGTATAATCAATAAAAATCAATGTACTAACCTGTCCATTTGATCTTCTTCTGCTTTATTTTTAAATCGAACACGAATACGTGAAAAACACGAGGTAAACAGCTATTTTTATGCAATGTTTCGATATGGAGCGCCTTTTGGGTATCAAACCAATTCAGTCGCTTAAATATTTAATCAAGTTGCATTGAGAAAGTTGATTTTTATTTTGTAATTTTGAAAAAAATTGCCTAAACCAGATATTTCACAGGTGCCAATAGTAGCTAGTGTCCGAAACCAAGATTTTCTCGATTCGCACTTTACCAGCAGTGATGCGTAGGAATGAATTAATAGATCCGTCCGATACGATAAGCTGATGAGCAGTGTATCAATCCATCTGTCGGTATGTACAGTATAAGACTGAAAGATCATTCTGTTATACTTGATGAAGACAAACTTATGGGCAGCATATCATCCCGGGTGTCGGTACGCATAGGACTAAATAGATCGATCCGTTACGATAGATAGAGACAAGCTGGTGGGCAGCGTATCGTCCTGGGTGTCGGTACGCATAGGACTAAATAGATCCATCCATTACGATAGATAGAGACTAGCTGGTGGGCAGCGTATCGTCCTGGGTGTCGTTGTGTATAGGACTGAAAAGATCGGTCCGTTACGACTGAATAATTTAGAAAGAAGAAGGAAGTAAGTGAGCATGATAATAGCCCGAGTATGGGTTCATTTACGGATTGAATTAATGCTGGGTGCAATAGAAAGAAAGAAGCTTATGAGCAGTATTGGCATGTAAATGGATTGGGTTGTTGATGAGTAGGTGAGCAGTGTGCCATTCCGGGTGTTGGTACCTAAACGGATCGGGTTGTTATATTGGTACAATAGAAAGAGATGCTGGTGAAAAACGTGTCATTATTGAATTCTTGTAAGATAAACCTTGAGTAAATATGCACTAGCAAAGGATGAATTTCTGTTACTGTTTTTGTCAGTTTAGCACTCTTATGCATGACTATTGCTATCTGTCATTTCCGGCCCTGGTGCTCGACTACTAGTTCCAATCATCGTCAGATGGTCTCAAACCTTCACCGGAGGTTTCGACTCTAAACAATGACACCCTCCAGCCGGTGGTTAAGCAGCAGTGGCCAATCCACGATGGATCCTGACTTCCAGCACTGATCATCTCGGCGGTTTCACATCCAGCAGGATGACCTCTCTGTTGCTTCAGTCTTCTTTTTGCGTCTTGCGTGCTCTTCCTGGTACTCCTAATCAGCTTCCACGCCAGTGGTGCTTGGAACTCTGCAACGGACCTCTATTGGTAAACCAAAATGTTCCATCCCCTATTCTTTCAGTCTGTCATGAGGTGTGCATACTAGTATTTACTATTTAAGGCTCTTTCTCTATTGTGCCTTTAACAATTTTCTTCCCTTTACATGGTCAGATATATTTCGATCAACGTTTTCGACTGCTGGGACATGTATTCTGCGTCTGGTCGCTGATTGGCTTTCACGATCTTATGGAAAACTAACTTTCTGTCTAGATCCACTCCAAGCTCCCACTCTCTCTATCCAGCATTAATGTCCACCATGTTGCTCTTGTGTCAGTCGTTGTTTTCCACTCTCTCACAAATTGTAAATGTCTTTGTTTCAAGTCTGGTGGTTTTTCCTTCTCCCAACCTCCATAACATTAACCAACTCACACAGGATTTTGTATGTTTTGTCCTATCACCATCTACACTTCCCTAAGTCAGCGCTTCTTGGCATCCTGATAGATTACTAGTATGTGCTTCAATCCCTCTCATACCACACAGCTTTGTGTCAACGCACTCTGAAAAAATTACATACTTTGAATAATTTTTCAAAGCGCGTTGTAACACAGCTTGCAGTCTGGGTCTTCCCTAAGTCCCCGTTGTTGCAAGTTTACAAGAGACGGGCTGGGAGTGTGTTAAACACTGACCTCAACAGGAACGAGATTCTAAACTGGACCATTCTTTAACAATCCTGACCTTGTCTGGATTCCTGCTCCAGCGACCTAGTCATCTTAATTCTGAGTCCCATTACGTCATAACCAAGCAGCGACATTTTGCTACCTTGAATTCTTCGACCACAGAAGAAACTGGTCTCTGTAATCTAGTTGAGTTGCTGTAGAGTCCAATCGATGTAAATTGTGGTGGAAATTATAGCCATCAATCTAGATACTAACTTATCTTCATTTCCGACAGTAGTAGTTGCGATTTTAAACATGAAGAACAGCCACATGTGTCTTGGTAGGATACCATGCTGGTAGATCCATGCCTTTTATTTCCCAGGCAATCCGCGTCCATCAACCATTTCTAGCCGAGAAAGAAGCTTCTTGATGCTATCTTTATCTGTGGGAGATTCATTTAACTACTTTCCCAAACATTTAAATGGGTCTCCTACTATTGACAGGGATATCCTCTCCTTGAATTTGCGTCATGACTTTGCCTGTTGATACGCCCCTTCCTCGTTATGGGACATCTAAATTTCTACGGCTTGAACTTCTTACGTACTCAGGAAACACTATCTTCCAATGCTGAGAGGACCCATCTTGCCTGTATATGAGTCGTTGTTGTCGCTGTGAGGTCATCCATAAAGTCTCTGATATGTAGCTGATAAATACCTTATCCAAAGTCCATTCTTTGCCCTCGTTTCTTTTTCTGTAGTCCAGGTCACTATTCATGTACCCGTTACAGGACTTTTGCGAGGAGCGCTGACTTTTACATTCGATGTCTTACTTTTACAACAGGACAATGTACGGAAGCTATTTTACGCTATAAATATTTAGCTTAACGAACATAACGAGTTATTTCAAAGCACAAATAAGTTACCCTTGAAGAAATCGTCAACCACCATACCCTCAACTTTCGGCCTTCACATGTTAGTGCCCCTTACACCATACTTATGACCACTAGAAAGGTTTTCTGATCTATTATCAATTCTGTACCTCCGTACATGATACAGGTTTAAATGTCAAGTAAACCGTCAACTGTAAAAGTCAGTGCTTCTCGCAAAAGTCCTTAAACAGGATAGTAGACAGCCTGTGACCATCCCTTTCTCTACTCTTTGCCAGGATGTGGTCGAGTCATCAACAGTGAACTACATCTTGATTCCTCCGAAGTATCTGTTGACAATTCCCTGAACATTCTCTGGTATATGGTACAGCTCCATCGCCACTTCAGTCAACTTATGGGGCAGAGATCCATAAGCGTTGGCTATACTTCAGCTGTGTTTTTCCTTTTCTACCAGTCCTTCGCTATTCTAAACTGTTTATTCAGCTCTCGTAGTTCTTGTCGAAATTCTCTATCTTTCGCTTCCGCCTATTCAGGGTCTGATCTTTGTGCTCATTTCTTGACAATTCTTTCTCTGTCCCAAACCGCTCTTTCCCAATGTTATTCACCATGGTAAATATCTCTATCTTCTTCTCTTCATTCCCTTGCGTTGTTAACTCAAGGATTGTGCTGACCTTTTTGATCGAAGCTACTCCACAATACTTCATCATTTCCTTTTGGCCATGTAATTGTTAGCCTCTTTTCCTTAACATTCCTTTGTGTTTGCTGGTCCATACTTATTTGAATACCAAGCTCCTACATCAAGACATCAAGAGGTTCCTGGTTTTGTGGGTTGTGTCCAAGCTAGGATCTTGCTGATCTCACCAGTTGGTTCTTTGCGCAGTGTTTGGGTTGTCGCATTGGTATATCCTCAGACCTCGGACTTAACCGTAAGCACATCTATCAGCCTTTCCTTTATCTGATATTAGATGCGTCATTCTCCTGACTTTGATTGTTCATTGTCGTTACCTTTAGATCTGACTTTTCTAGTCTCTCATCCTCCACCCCTCTCGGAAGTCTTCGAAGGGAGTTCTTCAATTTTCTTTCGGTCTTTCACAGTCGATTGTTATCCAATCTTTCAGATACAGGTTTCCCAGATTAACAGTACTAGTATGCATTTGCAGGAAATGACTTTCTGCTATCTGTCAGTTCGTCACTCTTATGCATGCCTTTCGCTATCTGTCAAGTCCGCCGTAGGTGCTCCCTGTCGGTTCCGATAGTCATTAGATGGTCTCCATTCTTTACTGGATGTGTCAACCCTAAACCATGATATCCTCCAGTTGGTGGGTCAGCAGTGGTGGCCAATCAACTATTCGATGGATCCGGACTTCCAGCACAGATCTCGGCTGTGCCAATTCCAGCAAGAAGACCTTTCTGCTGCTTCTCCCCGTCTTCTGTCTTGCGTGCTCTTCCTGGTACTCTTATCGTGCAAGCAGCTTCCACACTGATTGCACTGTATTAGAAACTTTTACTTGGAAAATTATCTCTCTTATCAGAGGGTTGGTCTTCTTTAATTCGACTGAAAAAAGAAGGGGTATAAAACTATTTCATGTCTTTGTTTTGTCAGTTGGATTAAAGCGAACTAACAGCCTGTGGATAGGACAAACCTATCGTCTGAAGTTCTGGAAACTGGTCAGAGAATTATTAATCATGTACGTATAGAATATAACATTCAGTTTTCTTTGTAGAATTCAGAAAGTACCACAGAGAAACTGGCAACCACAGTTGATGATGAGATAAGTCAAATGACACTCAGAAGACATTCTGCTGGTAATAAACACATTTGGCCACTTTGAATTTTTTCTTTTCTTATTTTCAATATTTGGATTAAGTCTGCAATGAGTAGTGAAAAAAATGAACGATTTTCAGATCCACATAGAAAATCCCAAAAGTCGGATCGTAGAACGATGTCCTCCAAACCACGGCTCATGGAAGAAATCCTGGATTGCGAGGAGGTACTGACTTGTTTGTGTGCTTCTCCTAAACACGTACATACTAGTACATAGCCTCAGAAACAGAATCATCCTAACACACACCATCAAACACACATACATATAAATATATTTGTTTTCTACTTTTCTCGTTTCTAGGACTATGTGCCACGCAGTAGATGTTCCGAGCCCTTCATCACGGCCTACGCCCAGATTTCAGAATTAAAGACGGGACAAGTATTTGTATGTAATTATGATATTAGAATGAAGGTTATGGAGATAACGAACAGCATTCAATATCAAAGTCCATAAAACAATACAAAATAGGGGCAGAGCAAACGCGGACCTCCAAAACATCAGAGACGGGATCAGGTGCCATGGAGGAGAATTAAATACAGCATTTTGTTTCGATAAGTACCGGTAAATCTCCAATGAAAAAAAAAATGCAAACAAGTGTCAAAGAAATGAATCGTTATTATATCTACGAAGTTTTGATTAAGACTTAAAAGAAACAGTTGGATATCAATCATTTTAACTTTCAGAAATTTCCCTATTTTGAAATTTATTTTTGCAAAATCTAAAACACCCGTATGCTTATCATTAAAAAGAGCCCCGACATGGTACGAAAGAAAAATCATGTTTCCTATTGGTAAATGTATTTTTTCTGTCGTCATAATTTTCTACATTACATCTAATAGGGTTTGGAGTCTCTGATCTCTACCCCGTCTACACAACTGAGTCTGGTCAGCGAGGGGGCGGAGTGTATCCTCATTTCTAAGCGGCTCTTTCTGAGGGAGGCTAATGTTAAAGTCCTAAGGATTGTCACAGACTTGGTAAGTGAGCATTTTAATAGATGTAATACATACAGTGTATTGTTGTTTTTAAAATAAAAATAGCCACAAACTCTAAAGTTTACTTTCCTTTTCCCTTGGCTGTGTAATGGATAGATGCTGTGCCCGATTTCGGACTACGGTTCTTGCGAGGAAACTTGACCGAACATTACATGTATATTTCTTTTCCAGGTTCAAAATTAC